ACAGGTCGACACGTGTGCGCAAAATCACGTGTATATATATATAGATATTTATTTTGCATTTCCGGGTAGGAGACGCACACACCCTACCTGCACCGCCAGCTGCGGCTGTCAATCACCGGGTCCCGGCTGGTAATTACTCGCCGGCGCCCGGTGATTTCCAAGGAGCTTCGACGGGGAGGAGAACTATTTTGTTTGTAACTGTCCTCCCTGTCATGCTCCTGCACACTGCACAGCCATCCAAAGCAGTGTGCTTACAGTGCAGCACTAACACAGAGACCTCTAGTAAAACAGCACACAATTAACCCTTTGATCGCCCCTCATGTTAACATTTTCCTGCCCAGTGCCATTCGTACAGTGATCAGTGTTAAAAAAAAAAAAAAGCCCTGACACTGGGCAGGAAGGGGTTAACAGCGACGTATACCGGGACTTATGACACTGGGGGGAACTGACTTGGTGTCACTGACATCCCCAGTGATGCCCAATACAGTGTCAGAATGCCCACCTCAGTCCCACTATAAGTCACTGATCGCCACCATTACTAGTAAAAATGAAAATCCCAGTCTATATACCGCCATTTGTAGACGCTATAACTTTTATGTAAACCAATTAATTTACACGTATTGGGATTTTTTTTTTTAGCAAAGACACGGAGCAGAATATTATTATTATACAGTATTTATATAGGTCCAACGGTTTGCTCAGCGCTGTACATCACAATGGGAGACGGAACATGAGACAGTACAGTAACAATACAATACACGAGGGGTTCGAGGGCCCTGCTCCTTGGAGCTTACAATCCAGGAGAATACATTTTGGCCTAAATTTATGATGAAATTTGATATTTTTAAAAAAATTTTACTGGACATGTTTAACCACTTCGTGTCCGGACACTTTTACCCCCTTCCCCCCCCCCCCCCCCCCCACAGGCCAATTTTCAGCTTTCAGCGATATTACACTTTGAATGACAATTGCGCAGTCATGCAACACTGTACCCGTATGAATTTTTTACCATTTTTTTGAGACAGATAAAGCTTTATTTTGGTGGTATTTATTCACCGCTGGGATTTTTATTTTTTTTACTATGTAAATGAAAAAGTCCAAAAATTTTTAAAAAAAATTTTGTTTTTTTTTTTATAAAATTTTGCAAATAAATAATATTTCATCATAAATCTTGGCCAAAATTTATTCTGTTATTTTTTTTAGTAAAAAAAAAAAATCCAAATTAGTTTATAAGCAAAAATTATAATTTTTAAAAAATTTTTTTACATTTTTATTTTATTTTTTTTATATTATTTTTTTTTTATTTTTTTTTTACATACTGTCACCCTAGCAGTACAGTGTCACCATGGTGACACTGTACTACTTGGGGGTGATGAAGATTTTTTTTTTTTTTTTACACACTGATTGCTTTTACACCCATATAGGATGTAAAAGCAATCATTTCTCTTTCTCTCTGTCTGCATTCTTGCAGTCATTGAGAAGTACTGAGTGAGCTGTGAGTGGTCACAGCTTATCACATGGTACAAGGCTGTTGTGAATAGCCTTGTACCATGTGACCTCTGTGATCATTCACAGATTTCACACGTAGTAAGCAATGATGTCACAAGTGACATCTTGCTTACTACTTTGCATGTGATCACTGATTCGCCAATCAGTGATCACATGATCGGGACCTCGTACAGAGGTCCCGTCCGATGATCGGTGTTTCACTGTGTCCGGAGGACACAGCGGGCACTGGATTGCGGTGGTGCGCACTTCCCAGGGAGCGCGCACAGCTAGAAAAGGCGGGTGCCGTTTAGGAACGGCAACCCGCCCCTGGACTGCCACCACCCTACCGTTTATAAACAGCAGGCGGATGGCAAGAGGTTAATAGCAAACAGTCAAAAATGTTTTTTTTTTTTTCTCAGAATTGTCGGTGGTTTTTGTTTCTTATGCCACAAAAAATAATAAACACACAGGCGATCAAATACCACCGAAAACTCAGTTTGTGGGAAAAAAAGGATTTCATTTGGGTGCAGCATTGAATGACCGCGCAATTGTTAAAGTAACGCAGCGCCGTATTGCAAAAAATGGCCTCGTCAGGAGGGGGGGGGGGGGAAATCATCAGGAGGGCAAGTGGTTAAATACATGTCTGTATACTGATATTTACAAAGAATAGAAAAAATTGTGTTAATTGTTGGTAAATGACAGTTCCCTGCCTGTAGAAAATGTCCTTGGTGTCAGTGAGAATAACCAGTGTCCCATCATTGGTTGTCAGTAGGAAGTGTTCCACAATCGGTGGTGTCAGTGGGAAGTATTGATAGTTTTAAAAAAAAAATTCTTGGATGGGCATCTTAGCAGACACAATATACAGGAAATAAATTTTGACATGAAAAACACCCACACAGGTTGATCTGATGGATGACTAGTGTCTTTATTCAACCTTATAAACTATGTGTCTATGATGAATAGTGTCAGTGGGAGGAATAGTGCCCCATCATTGGTGTCAGTGGGAGGAATAGTGCCCCATCATTGGTATCAGTAGGAGGAATAGTGCCCCATCATTGGTATCAGTGGGGGGGAATAGTGCCCCATCATTGGTATCAGTGGGAGGAATAGTGCCCCATCATTGGTATCAGTGGGAGGAATAGTGCCCCATCATTGGTGTCAGTGGTGGAATAGTGCCCCATCATTGGTGTCAGTGGGAGGAATAGTGCCCCATCATTGGTATCAGTGGGGAGGAATAGTGCCCCATCATTGGTATCAGTGGGGAGGAATAGTGCCCCATCATTGGTATCAGTGGGAGGAATAGTGCCCCATCATTGGTGTCAGTAGAAGGAATAGCGCGCCCCATCATTGGTGTTAGTGGGAGGAATAGCGCCCCATCATTGGTGTCAGTGGGAGGAATAGTGCCCCATCACTGGTGTCAGTGGGAATGAATAGTGCCCCCATCACTGGTGTCAGTGGAGAGAATAGTGCCCCATCATTGGTATCAGTGGACGCGGAATAGTGCCCCATCATTGGTGTCAGTAGGAGGAATAGCGCCCCATCATTGGTGTTAGTGGAGGAATAGCGCCCCATCATTGTGTCAGTGGGTGGTAATAGTTGCCCCATCACTTGGTGTCAGTGGGAGGAATAGTTGCCCCATCACTGGTGTCAGTGGGAGGAAATAGTGCCCCATCATTGGTATCATGGAGGAATAGTGCCCCGTCGACATTGGTGTCAGTGGGAGGAATAGTGCCCCATCATTGGTATCAGTGGGAGAAATAGTTGTCCCATCATTGGTATCAGTGGGGGAGGAATAGTGTCCCATCATTGGTATCAGAGGGAGGAATAGTGCCCCATCATTGGTGTCAGTGGAGGAATAGTGCCCCATCATTGGTATCAGTGGGAGGAATAGTGCCCCATCATTGGTATCATTGGGAGGAATAGTGTCCCATCATTGGTAATCAGTGGGAGGGAATAGTGTCCCATCATTGGTGTCAGTGGGAGGAAATAGTGTCCCATCATTGGTATCAGTCGGGGGGAGGAATAGTGCCCCATCACTGTGTCAATTGAAGGAATAGTGCCCCATCATTAGTGCGAGTGGGAGAAATTGTGTCCCCATCACTGGTGCCAGTAGAAGGAATAGTGCTCTATCATTGGTGTCAGTGGGAGGAAAAGAGGATATATGCATCACTTTTGCTGACAGTGGGAGGAATAATGGTCCAAGGCTGGATAAATGCAAGCAGAAGACCGCATCTGGCCCCTGGGCTACTGTTTTGGACACCACTGTCCTAGATGATGAGATGAGACCCTGGTATAGATGGTAATGGGAAATCCCACATTAGTAAAAAAAAAAGAAAATGTAGGACTCCCCCTTAAAAATACATACTAGACCTTTATCCTTCATGAGTGTCTGGTATAGGATGTCAATGGGGAAGCCCTGCAAAAAAAAAAAATTGTGTGCTCCTCAATTTCAATACCAGGCCTTTCAGGGACTGGCATGAATTGTGAGAACTCGATGGAAAACTGAAGATGAAAGTGGGTCACTCTAAAGTTCATATCAACTCTTATAGGAGAATGCAGCCTGCAGGCGGGATAAGGGGGGGTTGACTGTGTGGTGCCCCTTCTCTTGAACCATAACAAGCCACGTATCCTTAACATGGGAGGATCCCCCAGAAATACACCTTGTTCCCTTGGTGGTAAGGAAAAGGGCCTCTTTCCCACAACCCTGGCCAAATATAGTTGTGGGGGGTCTGCAGGCGGGGGGACCTAGCAGGTATAGCTTAGTAAAAAACCGTTTGATGGCATAGTTTGTGAGCAACTTTTTACTGTAGTACCACACCGCACCATCGGGTACACCCCTCTGTATTCTCCACATCCCACCCAGTCTTTCCGGTTCTTCATGATGCTCCAATGATGGAGCACGACAGCTAATAGCAGAGGCCCAAAACTGAGAGCGACGAGGAAGGGGGTTTTCAGCAATGGAAGTTAGGGTGTAGGGTCTGAGACAAAACTGACCTGCCAGTGGTTGGACAGTATGTAGTCACCTTGATTAGGATCTAACTTTGGGGACACAAGGCACTAAAACTGACAGATTGGCAGCTGAGATGCACCTACCTGGGAACGTTGTAAAGTTAGTGGCCCTGAGAACGAGGGAGGGTCAAGGGGGTACAGTATGGAGCAAGGTGTTTAGTGCCATGCCGAATGGTGGGTGTAGCAACCTCTAAAGAAGACTGTAAATACTTACTCCCCGCTACCTCACCACTGAGTGCAGCCTACAGACTACAAGAGAGCAATGGAGGTTGGAACTGTACAGATGAAGATCAGATTGTTGTTTAGGTGAGACAAAAGGAGAGAGAACAGAAATAAACACCCCAATAATATGGACGGGACTACAGATGTAAGAGCAGCAGTGATCACCATGAAGGAAAAACTGAGAGTAAAAAGTCTGCCTATTAACCCCTTACATCCCCATCCTAATATTGTACAACCAACACCGTCCAGATAATTCTCTATCTATCTACAGGGAAACCCCCATAGATCACATGACCACATCAATGAGGATGGAGGACCGGAGTCACATGACTGAGAGGATACTAAACCTCACCCTGGAGATCATCTACCTGCTGACTGGAGAGGTGAGGAGGATTCTGGGAGGTCACATGACATCACTCTTTTATCTCTATTAATAAAACAGACCTGACCGAAGAGATGAGGATTCTGGGAGGTCACATGACATCACTCTTATCTCTTAATAAAACACAGACCTGACTGGAGAGGTGAGGAGGATTCTGGGAGGTCACATGACATCACTCCTATCTCTATTAATAAAACACAGACCTGACTGGAGAGGTGAGGTGGATTCTGGGAGGTCACATGACATCACTTATCTCTATTAATAAAACACAGACCTGACTGGAGAGGTGAGGTGGATTCTGGGAGGTCACATGACATCACTCTTATCTCTATTAATAAAACACAGACCTGACCGGAGAGGTGAGGAGGATTCTGGGAGGTCACATGACATCACTCTTATCTCTATTAATAAAACACAGACCTGACCGGAGAGGTGAGGAGGATTCTGGGATTTTAACATGATATTCCTATTGGTTCCTCAATACAGAGATCTCCTATTCCGAAGTCTGGAGATCATATGACCATCACAGTGCCTCCATGTGACTCCCTAAACCCTGAGAGACACAACATGCAGAAGATTCTAGAAGTCACTAAGAAGATGATGGAGCTGCTGACAGGAGAGGTGAGCGGTGCCGGAAATTCTGGGACATTCTCCAGTAACAGACAAGGGATGTGTCTGGATGGTGACTGTATCATTGTGTGTGTCAGGTTCCTATAAGGTGTCAGGGTGTCACTGTCTATTTCTCCATGGAGGAGTGGGAGTATTTAGAAGGACACAGGATCTCTACAAGGACGTCATGATGGACAATCAGCCGCCCCTCACATCACCGGGTAAGAGGAGACTTTATTGTAAAGGAGAGAGCAGTACGGAGGATCCACCTAGATCCCCCATCATCTGATAAACACATAGAAACAATGGATTCAGTCAGTGTGTGTGTTTCCTACAGATGGATCCAGTCATGGGAACCCACCAGAGAGATGTCCCCGTCCTCTGTATTCCCGGGATTCCACACAGGAAGGTCACACCATCCCTCACCATCAGGTAGATGGATCCAGTCATGGGAACCCACCAGAGAAATGTCCCCATCCTCTGTATTCCCGGGATTCCACACAGGAAGGTCACACCATCCCTCACCATCAGGTAGATGGATCCAGTCATGGGAACCCACCAGAGAGATGTCCCCGTCCTCTGTATTCCTCGTATTCCACACAGGAAGATCACACCATCCCTCACCATTATATGGTTGGTAGGACGGAGCATCTAGAACATTGACTCGTAGAGATGATGTGTGGATTTTATTGTCATAAAATTAAAGCTTACGTTTTACGTCTTGGTTTAGGGTGAAGATCTGATAGATATAAAAGTTGAGGTTAAATCAGAAGAGGAAGATGATGATGAAGAAGAGATGTATGTGATGGATGATCAGCAGTCTATGGAGGAGGATGGAATAACGGGGACATTTATAGAGGAGGACACTCCTACAGAGACCAGCACAGGTGGGTCATGAACACTAAATCCATTCCTCCACCCATACTGCTCACTGATTGGTCCAGAGTAGGGCGGGGGGACTGGGTGATATCAGCCTGTAATCCCCTGGTCACTTTCCTGAGCTGTGTTCCCCGTCCTGTATTCCTGGATTTCTCTCGGATAATCTTCCTTCTCTGTGCTGCAGACACAATTTTTGTGTCTAGACTGGATTTATGGAGATTCTGGGGTTCAACTTGGCAGTCCAAATGTCCCATCAAAGGTGAAAAAGAATAAATAAATTTTCTCCAATGCTACATTACATTAATATTCCATTTTGTGTTGACAGTCCACCACCAGGACAAAGTAAGCCTCGTGCCAGAAGTTGTAGACCCCAAAATGACTTGGGTCACCTGCATTCTTAAATCATCTGGGCCATCTGGTAAATAGTTGTAGTGCTACCCCTGATGGGGCTGCTTTGAATTCATAGATTCTTTAGCAAAAAGTTCAGAGGCAGCCAGGCACACAGCAACCGTCCATTCGGCTCATTGAACAGTCTAGGGGATGTAATGGTCTACAGGTTCACGGCTGAGGACCACGAAGTAGCTTTAGCACAGGTAAAGGCAGACTGTAATGGTCTACAGGTTCACGGCTGAGGACCATGAAGAAAGCTTTAGCACAAGTTCAGGTAGACTGGAACAGTCCACAGGTTCACGGCTGAGGACCACGAAGTAGCTTTAGCACAGGTAAAGGCAGACTGTAATGGTCTACAGGTTCACGGCTGAGGACCATGAAGTGGCTTTAGCACAAGTTCAGGTAGACTGGAACAGTCCACAGGTTCATGGCTGAGGACCATGAAGTACCTTTAGCACAGGTAAAGGCAGGCTGTAATGGTCCCCAGGTTCACGGTTGAGGACCATAAATTAGCTTTAGCACAGGTAAAGGCAGGCTGTAATGGTCCACAGGTTCGCAGCTGAGGACCATGAAGTTGCTTTAGCACACGTAAAGGCAAACTGTAATGGTCTACAGGTTCACGGCTGAGGACCATGAAGTAGCTTTAGCACAGGTAAAGGGAAACTAATGGTCAAGGCTGTAATGGTCTACAAGTTCACGGCTGAGGATCATGAAGTAGCTTTAGCACAGGTAAAGGCAGACTGTAATGGTCTACAGGTTCATGGCTGAGGACCATGAAGTAGCTTTAGCACAGGTAAAGGCAGACTGTAATGGTCACAGGTTCATGGCTGAGGACCATGAAGTAGCTTTAGCACAGGTAAAGGCAGACTGTAATGGTCACAGGTTCATGGCTGAGGACCATGAAGTGCTTTAGCACAAGTTCTGGTAGACTGTAACAGTCCAGAGGTTCACAGCTGAGGACCATGAAGTAGCTTTAGAACAAATACAGGTAGACTGGAATAGTCCACAGGTTCACGGCTGAGGACTGTGAAGTAGCTTTAGCACAGGTGAAGGCAGACTGTAATGGTCTACAGGTTCACAGCTGAGGACCATGAAGTTGCTTTAGAACAAATACAGGTAGACTGGAATAGTCCACAGGTTCACGGCTGAGGACTGTGAAGTAGCTTTAGCACAAGTACAGGTAGGCTGTAATGGTCTACACGTTCATGGCTGAGGACCATGAAGTTGCTTTAGCACAGGTAAAGCCAGGCTGTAATGGTCTACAGGTTCACAGCTGAGGACCATGAAGTAGCTTTAGCATAGGTACAGGTAGGCTGTAATGGTCTACAGGTTCACGTCTGAGGACCATGAAATGGCTTTAGCACAAGTTCTGGTAGACTGGAACAGTCCACAGGTTCACAGCTGAGGACCATTGAAGTTGCTTTAGCACAAATAAAGGCAGACTGGAACAGTCAAGAGGCTCACGGCTGGAGAGCATGAAATTGGTACAGCACAGAAATGAGCCTCTGCTCACAGAATCCTGGAACAAGATATGTCCATGGGTGCAGACTCTTGTAAGTAATTCAGCATCCAGTCTTAAAGGGCTTCAAGCTGCCCCACTCCTCTCAGCTCACAGATCCATTCCCTCAGGAGGGAAAAAAGACAATCTTCTCAGGGCTCCAAACTTTTTAACAGCATCCCAGCCACCATCTGAGCAGGCCACCCCAAGGATTGGCTAGGGCCTGCTCAATATTCAGGAGGGTCTGACATGCCATGTGGCAACACAACATGTAGAGGAAGTAGAACGCTCCACATAGTATAGATCAATGAAATCACTCAATTTATTAAAGTAGAAGTGCACAGTGTATCTCCTCGCTGTTCAGTCCAGCTGCGATGACATCGATGCATTATTCTTCTTCCCAACGTGCTGGCGACATCACATCGGGATGGATCAATGGTCTGGCCTCTGACATCATCCGAGATATGTCATAGATACATCATGTGGAGCCGCCTTCTTCCTCTACATATTGTGTTGCCACATTGTGAGCTTTTGCTCTTGAGAACGCAGGTGACCTCAGTCATTTTGGGGTCTACAACATCTAGTAAGAGGCTTGACTTGTGGTGAAGTGGTGAAGTTAGATGTAGCTTTTGATTTGATATCTGCTGTTTTGATTGGAGCACAGACTTTTACATGTTGATAATAATGTGATAACATTCTCCAACTTTGTATCCTTTGACAAAAAGTGATAATGAGGGAGGAGTCAATAACCCAATGATGGTGGTCTTAGAATCAGTCCGGTCTTTTCCTTCTTGGTTGGTCTCCCCCCATCCTCACTCTCTGACTCTGGTGGGGCTCAACCTAGACCTTATTCATAGCTATATCATGGACTGAATTGGGGAGTGCAGTACTTCTTTTGTTGACAATGAGTGATAGAGGGGTGGGGACCCTCGTCCTATAATCCCCTCATCACTGTCCCTCCTATAAAAGACAGTTCTGGTTGTTTCCTCACTCTCTGACTAAGGTCCATGAATAAAGAAATGACCTGGTAGGAGATCAGAGGAGCCATTTTCTAGTTCCCTTGAGGGTGGAATTGTAAGCTCCTCAGAGACCAAACTTCCTGATGTGGGTGGAGTCCTGGTTTGGGGGAACCAATCAGCTCCTGTCTAGTAATCCTCTTTGTCTTTGTATTTTAGTCCATGGCCGGGAGATGAGGAAAACCTCCAAGGATTGTCTCACTTTGTCTCCAGACTGGAAAGTAGAAGATGAGGACATCACACAGTATAGTCCAGGAGAAAACCCGGCTCCCTCCAATGTCCATCCGGCACCACACCCAGTTTAGATGGACCATCGGATTCCTCGTATCCTGAGGAACCTCCGACTGTGCGGGACCGGGCTGGTCTTCCAACAGGGAAGAGCTTCTCCTGTACTGCGTGCGGGAAGTGTTTCCTTTTTAAGTCCGATCTTAATGAACATGTAAGATCTCACACAAATGAGAAGCCCCATTCCTGCTCTGAGTGCGGGAAATGTTGTGTACAAAAATTAGTATTTGTCACACCTCAGTGGTCTTACATGAGGGAGAAACCATTTTCCTGCCCTGAGTGCGGGAAATGTTTTTCAGTTAAGTCACGTCTGTATGATCATCA